CCCCCCCCCCCCCCCACCCCTCCCCTTCCCGATCTTCCCCGCGAGCTTCGCGTGGACTAGTGAGCGCTGTGAATATGTATAAATAGGGGGCCGCAAGCGAGATTAGCATAACCAACTACTCTTGTGAAACTTCACCTCGAAGATCATCACAGTTCTCGTGGTTCTTGGAACGTTGCGTTGTTGTTGAGTAGGCTCGTCCTGTGTTACAGTTTCTTGTTTCCTCTCGTTTATTTACGAAACAGGTAAGGGAATGCAGAATAATTAATTGTTGTGATTTGTTGCATCTAATTTCAGGATTTTATATTTATAATTGATAATTGATTTTAAAAATAATGTTGTAGATAAATAGATAAAACATTTTAAAAATAAAGTTCTAATAAGAGATTTTAATCAATAAATCATTTGGTTCTTTTTCCCTTTCTTTTTCTTTTCTTTTCTTTCTGTTTTTTTTTAAAGCATCGTTTGAATGTATCGATTTTAATATGACATCTTCATTTTTTTCTCTTAGCATTTGGTGGATATAATACATGGTTGTAGTTTGCAACCTATATTTTTTATTTTCAAACGTTCATTTTTATTATACGTTTACATAATGATGCTGATAATAATAATGTAAATAATGATAATAATAAAACACAATAATAACAACAACAACAACAATAATAATAATAATAGAAAAAAATTATCAATTAATAATAATAATGATGATGATGATGATGATGATGATGATGGTGATGATGATGGGGATAAGAAGAAGAAGAAGAAAAAGAAGAAGAAGAAGAAGAGTATAGTATAGCCTTTTAACCTAAACTTGCGGTGACAAATCAGGCAATAGATCTATGACTTGTGAGCGTTGATAAGTTTGATCACGTAGAATTTTTGACGCTATCATAGTTAATGATGAAGAAGCAGGGAACCCCCTATTGATAAACTCACCAAATAGATATAATAATAATATGATATTGTAGGCCATGGGTTATTTTCAGGTTACGGGTGGAAAAGAGAAATTCACGTCTGCAAATGTTAATAAACGAAAGGTCTTGTTGTTTCAGTGGGTGTCAAATGTGAACTTTTTAAAGGGTAGTTTGTGGGTGGTTGACGGATGCTCTGGTGTGGTTTGCTCCTTCTTTCCTATAAAACATCTATCGTCATGATCTCTTATCTCTTTTTTTTCCTTTTTTTGTGCATGTTACTCTCTTGTAACACTTCTAATCTGTGGTACTTGTATTTTGACCTTATTGTGTTGAAAGTGCCGTAAAACTCTTACTTACTAAAACTGAAAAGGGTAGTTCAGTTTGTGTAAGGTTAAATGCCAGTGCAGTCCCAGTCATAACCATTTGATGCTATTGGGTGGTTGGGGCAGGGAAGTGGGGAGAACGTTAAAAAATAGAGGGTAGGGTGGGGGGGAGGGAGAGGGATCAAACTTT